GGAAAGGCTAAAACAAGAAAAAAATGATTTCATTTATTTACCGATATAAATGATTTTAAAATGCTCAGAATTTAGATAGTGATGAAGTCATACATCTTCAAATCTTGTGAGAAAGCTACCAGTTTGTTGTCTAAGTTGATAATTTAAAAGGAATTACAGACATTCCTCCTTTGTGCATCCTCTATAAAGGCCTCTCTTTCTTTAGACAGATAACAGAGGATATATTTCGGATATATTATAAGTGTGAAAGCCTATGGCCCGATTGGACTTCACTCTCTCAATAAAAATTTGCCTAACTTTGAAATTCGATGAGAAGAATTGAGACATTTGTCCTGATGCAGTGATGACTTTGGTTTGTAGTTCCAAGGGTAATATTTCAGATACGAAGCCATGAAAGAAGTGAAGCAAACAGATGACAGAAGTGTAACACACTACACTAGTGACATTAGTGAAAGGCGGAGTCACAAGTAAAATCAAACTATGTACAACATGAGTGTGTATGCACGTGAAAAATTTAAAATATACAATCCTGTACAGAGTTCTAAATTCTCAACCACTAAGAACACATTACAGCGATTGACACAAATGTAAAGTAAAATAAAAACAAAGCAAAGACATTTTACAAATCAAATATATACTAATGACTACAAATTAATAATCAAAACAAGGAAAAGACTAGAAACACTTACATGTGCAATAGACTACCAATTAGGAAACAAAGCTACGGTCCCCTAGTATGTGCTCAAATTTGGTATTTTTGCGCTGTTCGATAATCAGAGGGGCTTTCAACTCCCTGCGCAGCAGTAAATGTTTTATGAAAATCCAAACATTAGTGATAATGCAAAACACCTTAGTTTGGATAATTTGCAATTTATTAATATCATCCGGTTTAGCTGCTGGCCAGGCTGAGGAGGCATAGCGTAAAATACATTCTATGACTAAAATGCGACGCACCAAAGAGTTATCTGAATGGGTCGAAATTGTATATGCTCATACCTCACGACAGAATATGCAAATGATAAACTTTTGGCGACCAGTGATTGACTAGTTGGAGTTCTAGCGCATTGCAGTGAAGCGAGACGATATTCCAATTTTAAGATAAAACTTCTATGCTAATTTGGTTCCTTTGACCCCTGTGGACTGTACTAATGGTTCGCAGATGAGTTCGCGAATAGCATGAGCAGATGTCTTTCTCTTTGAGAAAGGACGTGCAATTAGACTAAAGTAGGGTAATTAAATCGCTGGATTGCCAGCTTTTGGATCAGAGCGATGTTGGCAACAATGTGTGAACCATGACCATACAGAGCGTCAAGAAGGTAGCTGTAGACAGAGAGCAGAGACAAAACACGAGAACAGAATGACCATTCGATCGAGGCTCACAGTCCCTGATACGGCCTTATCAACTATCCGATGTATAGCCGTAACACTAATTACTGCACTGACTAGTGATAGACGACTCAGTGAACGGGGGCTGAGGTCACGGAAGGTATTACGCCGACTGCCCCTCACCGTTGCATACAGCCAGGTACATTTGCAGTAGTACCGGGTATGTTTGACCTGGGATTTCACGGACTGGAGGAGAATTATTTTTACCGATCAGTCCCGCTTTGAAGTCAGCCCCGATGACCATGAAGATGTGTCTGGAGACGTCCAGACAGCGGGGAGACACTCACCTGATTGTCGTCCATTACACAATTTGAAGCCATGAGTTAAAGTATGGCGTGCGATTTCATTTGATAGCCGGATGAATATTTCACAAGTGCACATCAGCGTAGCCACTGAGGGAGAGGTTTCGAAAATGGACTAATGAGCTGCTATTGCTCTTATGACGCTAAACCTTCGTACATGTGAGCGTATGTTGTTTACGTTTTAATTTGCATATGTTTCGCAGTTATAAATATATGGCGTAATAGTAGAAAATCTCGTAGTGCTTTTGTTTTCTGAGTTTGATTAATCGCTGACATTTCACTTTCGCGATTTTTATCACTCATTATTATTAGGATTGCTGTTCACGGCATATTATGTGGATTAAGAGAATTCAAGTGTATATTTTTTTAATTGAGCTGAGAATGACTGAAAGTGTTACAATGAATCTAGTGCTTTCTTATTTCAGTGCTTGTATTCTTTTGATTTTTAAAGTGTAAGATTCAGAACACATATTATCTGATTATATCCATTGTTAACATTAAAAATTATATATGAATAAATTGAATATACTCATTGTGAATGCGATAAATTCACTCTGTTTGATAAGTATTTCTTGTGTAGACAGTACATTTCAGAGCATTTATTAAATGTGAAATTTAACGCGTTAAATGTATATGAATGCAAATTAGTAAAGTTCACTTTGAATAAAATTCTGCATTGGTTATTATTATAAAACATCTTTTTCATATAGACTGCAATAAAAAGTGCTGACTTCTATTTACATATATAATTGGTGCAAATATTTTTCTCATACGCATAAAGATTGCATTTGGGCTCAGATGTTTATCACATATTTCTTTCTTCATCTTATTTACCACTTATTAAGTAATATTTCACCTCGATAATTTTGCGAAGTATCCAACATGTGTTTGTATTTATTTCAACCAGATAGTGAAATCGTCATAATTTCCTATATTTGATCTATCTTCGCAATGAAAAGTTTCAGAAGCAATCGACGATGTTTTAATTATTTTGTACAAAAAATTGCGTGGCAGAATGTATTCAACCATCTTGGTTAAATCTTAAAGCACGCGAAATGTCATGTGACATGACAGAAATATTACTGGATGCTCATTGGTCCATCCTAGAAGCCACTCCCTCGGTGGTTACACAGATGAGCACTTGTGAAATATGCTATCCGGATCCCTTTCGTTGTCATCCGTGACACCCTTACAACACAGCGGTACGTCGACGAGGTTCAAAGTTCCGTAGTGTTACCTTTCCTTTAGCGTATATTTGTGCTTACATTTCAGCAGAATAATGTCCGGCCGCCACGACACGTCTTCTACAACTTACCTTCGTGTTTCTCCATACAATTGCTTGGCTGGCGCAATCTTCAGATCTCTCAGATCATCATATTCATTGTATCTGAATATAGATGATCATTTCCTCAAGGGTCTATGCTTTAATTAATCCCCACATTTATGATTATTTGAGTGGGTATCATTTGTTTTGCGATTACTGTGCATCATACAACCCCAAAATGTTCTCAGAGCGGTATATGAAGAAAATGAAGAACTTGTAACTTTCTGTACGGAATCACACTTTCGACGCCAGTGTGATTCGGTCCTTAAATGAAATTAAAATATTGAGACTAATTTATGGCTGTAAAAACTGATGCCTGGTATTGTAAAAGCTGAGGGATCTGCCAGTGAATAGTATCAAACCACACTAGAATGATTTTTAGCAGTCAATCTTTAACGCGAAAATTATATAAAAGTTTCATAGGAGCTGAAAAAGAACAAAGGGAAAATCAGAATTACTTCACGGCAAGATATTTTTTGATATAATGACTTCAGAGAAGCCAAAAGAAGGCGAAGAAGAAAATGAAAGTGAAGTAGTAAAGATGGCATAGAATTATGAAAAAGAATAAACTGAGTTCGAATTTAATGGTATCACAGCTTTACACATTTTTTGCTATTTTGTTTGAAAGAATATCAGAGTGGTTACTAAAAGAAATAAAATATAACAGAACTTTACGATCAGAAAGCTGTACATAAATTCTAATAAAATTTTATGTATGATATATTTTAAACAGTAGACTGTATTTCGTTCATCTTTGACCTCTAAAAGTTAATTTTTTATATCACTTATGTATTAATCGCCAATTTACAGTTTTTTATCATTTGTGTATAACTCTAATCTTTAATTAGTATAGGTAAGCAAGAGTTCGGTGTACTGTAAAAACAATTTATGTTACTGCTATGTTTTTTCCTGCATAATAATTCAGTGATTAATATTGAAAACGTACACTTGAATAAAACATAATTACAACTGAAATGGAATAAAAATTGGATATATTTTCCATCATCATCAGTTTTGTTCTTGGCCATCAATGAGTATTTTAAGCTGCAATTTTTAAACGTATTCTTTCTGCAAATGATTCGATATATTAGAAAACTCTTTTGCTGAAAAGATTTTCCTTTCTTTCTTTTCTACCATTAACCTGATGCATTTAAAATTTTGTTGTACATTGATTGTGCTGTTACTTTTCCAAGCACTAAACGCAAGAAGAAATTCAGTTTTACAATTTTTTTAAAAAATGAATTTTTCTAAAGAAAAGTGCAAAATCTGTGAAATGATAATCATTATTCAAAATCATTTATAATTATTTGATTATTAAAATCTAAGTTCTGTTTCATATCTCAAAAGTCTGTATAAACTTAAAGAGACTACCACTAGTAAATTCACGTTGATGTCTTTTAAAATCTAGTATATTTTTTGCGATATATAATGAAGCTGGATACTGCAACAAAACTCCAGGTTAATCAACAAGGCAGAAAGTCTGATCATGCAGTAGTGTGATCAGATTTCCCTTATTTGTAAATTTCAAAATACCAGATTATTAATTTATAGCTCAGTATATAAAAGGTTTTTGAAGTAATGTGTAAAACGTTGGATTAAAAAATGTTGATGAGTTTGATAGAATTTTATCTTTAATGAATTATATAATTTTTTAAAACTATGCGATAGAAAAAATGAATCAGGACGTACTTAAGAAATAATTGATGATTTGTTTTGGTTAGTATTTTGGCTTAATCAAAAAGTAAGAGCGTTTTTTTAATGCTGATATAATAAGAAAATATCAGAAAAAGAGGAATTGTTATAATAGGTTAAAAAGTGTAAATGTTCTTGTATTTGAATCGTAAGAACTCGTATTTTACCTGAATGCTTGGAAATCCTTTTTATATGTATTAGGCTGTTTTATTTTTTAATTATTAATTCCTTTTTGGAAGTTATCTATTTTTGTGTATATCTAACCTATCTCGTGTTTATAGTCATAAACGTTTTACCTAAGGCCCACTGATTAGGTGAGTTTCCTTGCCCAACGTCCCAGACAACATATCCAGGCTGATTATTAGGCTTATTCTTATTGGTCCCGTCAGTGGCAGGCTCAGATTCTCCTCCTGTTCCACTAGTGGTTGGTGTTTCTTTTTTCCATAATGGAAAACCGTTGTTTGGAGATGGGCGGACAGACCACGAGTCTTGGTTATTACCTCCTCTACCAAACTTCCAGGCGATTTTTTTATCATCAGTCTTGTCCTTGTTGTCTGTTTCGGTTTCCTGCGGGATGAAAACACAATAAAAATGGTGCAATACACGTTTACGGTATTAATGTTAGTCATGGAAGAAAGGAAAGTCATCTCAAAAACACAACTTCCTAAGGATGTAAACTAAAAGTTACTAAAATCTATTCTCCATCTATATATTTTTCTCTAAGTTTTGGAGTAGTATCCCCAAACATCTGATTTTCTAAAATAAAAAATCTGTATTTTTTGGCAGCACGGCATACAAGCTTGGATACTGTGCTTAAAAAAGAAAATATAAAAGTATCCAGTATAATTCAGATAAGACATTAAGACACAAGAAAATAACCTTTTAGCTCCTTTCTTACAACATTCAATAAGAGTTTCCATTTTTAATCAAAAAAGAAAAAGCAATACATATAAAGTTCCAGTAACTGTGAATACCTAGTATCAGCCACTGATCTTTTTTCGCCAGTTATAAGCCACAAACAAAAGGGTCCTTCAGAAAAATGTATACACACATTACAAATGATACCTGCATATTACTTCCAAAGGTAAATTATCTTACTCTCATGACTGTAATATGGTATGATTATGTATACGTATGATAGTGAATGAAAGTAGCCTTGAGAGATCTTGAAAGACGTCGATTAGCGCAAGAAATCAGTAATGCTGAACGTCCTTCGTTAGCGAAATTACAGCGGCATTTGCAGCAGTCTCCCCTGAACACACTGGACAGCGTTTTCCAAGGAAACGCTCACCATTGTGTTATGTGTCTGGCTGCTAATGGACACCACTCTTACACTTTGAACACATCTACTCTCAAAGTAACTGTATAAATGCTGGAAGATTGCATTAAAGCTGTTAACCTATGAGATATATGATTATATTAATCTAAAATTCAGTTCTGTACTAATACAAAAAAAATTATCTTTCGTTAAAGTATGTATACATTCTTATGATGGAACCTGTATAATTTCATACTTATCACTTTGAATTAAATTAACTGTTGAATGTATAGAGTAACACATTCAATCTATTCTCATGAGAATTAATGATATCTTGTTTATTGAGAAATTATATTCATAGCTGCCGGTGATATCTATATTTTTAGCTGAATCGATGACCACAGCGTGGCTCTCGCAGGCGAGTGGTGCAGCTGTTATGCAAATAAAATGTATGTGCGAAAGAGGGTAAACTTAAAAAGTAATTAATTTGTTTCATTCATTTTACAAAGTTATTAGTAAACTTAAAATGATCAGTGTTCAAAGGTAACTATTTTATTTAGCTTTCTGTTAGTTAAGAAACTTAATAATGTCATGCAAATGTATTTAAAAAATATTGAACAAATTCTATCAAACAATTTTGTAAAGAAATTCTTTAAAAGTTAGATTTGTTTGTGGATGCTTTACAAATGGATGGGCAGACGCTTCTGGAATGCTTTATAAAAAGAGTCTGCCGAATTTCTGAAGCATTAATAGCTGTAAGTGCTAAATTGGGGGCAGGGGTCTGTTAGTGGAGCAGAAGACATGTGTAATGCAGAAACAGTAAATATAACACAGCATTTTTTACAAGTTAAAAATAATTTGAGGTTGTTTCGAAGTCCGAATTGATGAGAAATTTATGGCAGCTGGAAGTTTTCGGAATTTCTAATAAATTTAGCGTAGCGACTGCTACGGATAAACTTGAACACTCTGGTTTTCTAGAATCCGAAATTTCCTCTGTATGGGGATGACGACACTCGTTACAACTGTAAATGAAAGGAGGATCGCAACGACCTTGTAGGGCGTATTTGAAAGTAACATACTATAGATAATGAGGACAACATGATAGAAGAATTCAGAGCATTCCTCTGGATGTTTCTTATGAGAATGTATCTTATGCAATTATTAAATTCCTGATTCTCCACTGATTTTTATATATAAGGTGGGATGAATTTTATTATTATACCTTTTTGTGCTACGGTTCTAGACGATTTTGGCCTTTTATTAAAGTGATTGTCTTATAGAAGATGAATATCGATGATAGCAATTATCGATTTGCATAATGTAACTACCCCATTTGCTGTTGGCTGAAATTGTCATCTGATCTCGATTCAAAGCAATTTTGCGAATTTCGATATCGTAATTAGGTTGTATTTTCCTCATAAAAGGGTTCCCGACTGATATTATATGTAAATAACTCTGAAATGTTTGAGACAGGGCCAGAAAATATAACATAAAGAAAAATTTTTGCTCGACGTTTAGAAATGAACTTTTTTTATATCCGCAGATGATAATCTGAGACAACGATTTAAATTTATCTATCATAGAAGAATTTGTAAGAAAGGAAATTAAAACTGATATTAGAGCGTTATTGCGCTATGATTTTCTACGATTTTAGAAAGGGACTAAATTAACAAAAATGCATTGACTGTCTTCACTTAATGGAAATAAAGTTCCATCTTGTGTCACTCTGTTTAAATGGTTTATAGAATTTCATAGAGATCGAACTTCTCTCCTGTATTAAGAATACAAGAAAGACCTCTGTCAACTACAGCTTCGAAACGTGTGTCAGCTATTCGAAAAGTGTTGATCAGTGATAATCACTGTACCTGCCAAATGAAACAGAAGGAGCTTCTGGTAGATTAGTAGCTATACGTAAAAGTATTCATGCAGAACTGCACATTGTGGTTTGGTTTATATAATTATGGCAAAGCACGCAAGGGATATCTGCCTAAGGCGCGAGGAACATATATAAAACATATTTTTCATCAATTTCGAGATATACAATTTCTTTAAAATTCCTTTTTGCGCTCTATAAAGTTCACCTTCAAAAGTGAAATGGTGCTGTCGTTTAACGTTCCTACGATTTTGAAACTGAACTTGTGCCGTTTAATTGTATCTCAAACATTTCAGAGTGACCCTCATATTAATCTCCCAAAATATGAGACTGCTTTCTAATCAGTGTAATTAAAATAACTACTTTATAATAACATTGCGATGACTTTCGATAGAAACAATTGTTTTTTTATTTCGAGTTTCGACGGGATGAAATTTTTATGAATGTACAAAATTTAGAAATAGTAAGCGAAAATTTTCGTTAAATCTAGTTTTAGTTTTTTCTTTTAAATTAAAAAATCTCTTCATGTGCTAAACTGAAATCTTAATACGGAGGTCAGATTTCAAAACATTTATTTACTTATTTATTTATTTGGTTTCTTTGCATGAGAAACCAATGTATTAAGAGACTGTATCCAACACCGTCTTCCTGAATTTCATTTAAAATTATATTACTGAAAGACTTTGTTAAGATAAGATGAAATGATTTAATTTATTTTAAGGTAAATCAACTAGCAAAGAAAATATTTCATAAATTACTGGATACAAATTTTATTAAGATTTTCTCAGCTAATTTTACTGATACATACTCGAGGGCCAGCCGTTTCCTGCTTGGCAGCTGGCCTTTTCCTTGTGGACTCAAACCTATATCCCCGTGTCAGTCCACTTGCTCTTAGATCTTCACTGATGGCTAGATTTTCTGTGGTTACTTCTGCAGTGGCACCTTCTGTTGCAACAGTTGTAGTAGGGGCTGCAGAATCGGCTCCAGATAATGTAGTCCCTCCTTCTGTTGTCGCTAAAGGTACTGCAGTGGGAAAGAGCGTAGTTGCAGCAGTCGCCGCATCTGCACCATTGGCAAGGGTTGTCGGAGTAAGGGTAGTTGTCGTTTGAGCAGAGCAATTTTGTAAAATTATATGGAACAGGAACCATGAAGGTATCCACCACTATAGAAAAGAAAAATTAGAATAACATATGTCACTTGAAGTTTGCAAATATCTCAGAACTTAAACTTTTAAATTCTAAGATACGACTGGAATAGAAATCCAAACATAATAGTTTGAGTAAGCTATGAATATGATACCGAAATCATTACTCCCATGTTCATAGTTTAAGTTATAAACATTCTTCAGCCACATTTGATGACTCATACTTGAACGGACATTCCTTTCTACTTGAATTTAGTCATGAATTGCACATGGGTTAAGTCGTTGCAACATCAAATATTATATAACATCGAGTAAAATATACTGAAGGCTTTGGAATCACAAAAGCATAAAAATTTGTTCCCTTTTCTGACATGAAACTGAGGATAAATTTATTCTGACTTCATCATTATTGCCTTTTAATTCAAAGAATGTTGATGAAGGAACAGGTCTTGAAGTTAGGAGAAATAAAGCTAATGTTTAGCGAATATGACTGAAGAAAAATTTCAAATGAACATCATCATAATATATAACGCTCACTAAGTGAATATGGATTGAATTTATTGGATTACGACAAAGTATAGGACTGTTTGCTTAATAGAGAGATTACCATCGTGAAGGACTTTCAAAGAAAAACAAGTTCGTGTTATTTTATGCAAAGGATAAAACCAGAAAGCACTCATGTAGCCAGTTCCTTCTCCAGGATTTTAACCTAGCTAGGATTATGAAGCAGACTTAATCACTCGATTACTAGGGGGACCATTGCTAAACATTTAGATCGTCTGAATAGCGTTATAGTTTCCGAGTGACTTTTCAAAGAAAAAGGCTTAAGGAGAACTGCATTAAATTTAAGAAATCTGTTATTTTTGCAGCGATATACGTCTTGAGAAAAATACTTACGAAATTTAAATTATATATTACGTGTAATTATATGTAAATCCCTTACTGTATTAAACTCTCTCTCTGTATATATACTATATATAGAGATTGATTATTCTGCAGCTTCATTTAGTTAAAGAAAGGGATGTATATATGTACATTTTACACACACATATATGTAAAACAATCATTATGAAATTGAAAATATAGAAGAAAAATCTGTAAAATAATACGTTTGAACGTTGAAATTAGAAAACTTGAAAGTATTCTTCAAGTAAAGAAAGTAAATTTAATGGCAAATTGTATATCCATTGGAGCTCCAAGTAATAGTTTAATTAATTATAATAGTTTAATTTAATTATGATATGTCATAATACGAGCTCACCAGTGGCCAGGTTTTAAGACCGTTGAATACTGGAAGTTCGAATCTCGATTAGCCTCGTGTAATGGAATTTTCGCCTCGTGTAATGGAAATATGACCCAGTTTAATTTAAAAGTCTTCCATCGTGAAAGCAACCATATTTTAGGCAGGCAGTCTTATTATGCTTTGCTGCATTGAATTAAGCAAACAAACTGTTGGAATTAGTCTACAAACCAAAAATAAAATTATTTATTACAAATTCATACTTAGAAGATGAGATATGACTAACTGGTTGAAAAATTTGCAGAATGTATGTGATCAACATGTTTATTAATTTCGTGAGTATGAGCCACGTAAAATAGTAGCTTAGTTCATAAAAGATAAGTCGAATCTAGTTGACATAAATGGTGATTAAGAAGTAGAATTGTATGAAGGTTCGTAGATGAAAATATTTTTTGAAATCGTAAATTCGTTTCTCAAACTAAAATTTGGTTTACTTCGGGAATGCTTTTCTGCGCGAATCTGTGTAATCGGGAAAGATCAATTTTTTAATGCATGTCAGTAGTAAATCAGTGAAATGCATTTCTGACATAGAAATACTGGCAAATAATGTATTACTTTTAAAATCCTAAAATAACTTACGACAATAGTGCATCATTATCATACACAGGAGTTGTATAATTAAAAAATTTTAAGAATATAGTATTTTCCATGCATAGTAGAAGAAATGGTAAAATTTGCTGCCATGTCCCTAGTTAAAAATTATCCTGATTTTTAAAAGAAACGTGAAAAAGACCTCTTGTGATTTATTCCTTAATTCTACTACAATTCCATGATTGTACCAAAATTTCTTATGGATATAGTGAATTATTTCTTCGCCATTGTGCTTCGCTCACGCTGCAAAATTCAGTTGCCAGTTCATCTACTTTTATCTTAAAGAAAACTTTAAACATTGAGGTGCGAGGCTCAGCTCATTCAGTTTACGAGTTTTATCTCTATTTAACGAAATATAAATAACTATGATTTTATAAAAGTTTCTAAAGTCTACAAAAGAAAAAAATGTCATCAAGAGTTTCTGAAGCTTTTAATTCAGTGTCAGCGTCGTGACAATTACATTTTAATACAAAAAGCATTACTCGACAAACATCACAGTTAGGTTTGTTTGATTATGATAAAGCACGCGATGATTATCTGTTAAGGGATGCTTTCGTGGAGGATTTTGAATTGAATCTAGGTCATATCTACGTTACATATAACGAAAATCATAAAAAGTCCCTGCAGCTGGCATGTTCATCGGAACTAAACACTGGTCGAACTACCACTGTTCAGCGACATTACCGCTCGACCACTGGTGAGCGCGAGAAAAATCATGACTATTGTGAAATATACATGTTGTTAGAAAGAAAGTTTTTATTAGCTTTATTTCATTCAGTATTGATCATATACTTCAGATAGAAATATTTGCAAAATAGTTTCGGGTTTTCTACAAAATAAAATTTAACTTTTCCTTCAATCCTCATAGAACAAAAATTTTGCGTAAATAGTGAAATATCTCTAATAGATATGTTAATTACAAACGAAAGGTTCCATATAGAAACATTCACAAGCTTAGATAACGTTTTCTAGGAAAAGCTAAAAGTTTAAGTATTTTTTAATTAATTAAAAGCGTTAAATTAATTGCTTTTGAAAGCAATATAAGACAAAACAAGCACAGAATAATAATCTAAATCAGCATTACTTAAACTGTGGGTCGCCAAAAAATTTAGTAGTTTTGATACTTCTTTAACTTATTATAACAATTTTACAATTACCAAATATTTTTTACACAATGTATCTGAAAATAGATAAAGATTAGACAATATAGACAAAGAAAAAAAGAAAACGTTTCGACGCATTATTTTTATAATAGAAACGTTCATTTTACTTACTTCAGCGACCATGACAGCACGTGACGCTGTCATGGTCGTCTGTTACTTATTTAAAATTTTTACATTGTTTTATGTCTTAAAGTTAGAAATTAAAGTTAATGACCTAAAACTGCAATAGTATATTACAGTACAAGGAAAAAAATTGACAGTTTCACACAAGTGTCGGATTTGCATAATGCTTATCGGATCCCACAAAAATTTCGTGAATATTATGGGTCCTAGGGTTCGCGAAAAAAATCTCAGTGATAAAAAGGGGTCGCGACTGAAAAAGGTTTAAGAAACTGTGATCTAAATCATTAAATTTCGTTTCGTAAATATCATCTTGCAACTAGACCGAAATTTTTGCTCTTACCGGGCCATATATAAAACTCCATTTACCGCCAACAAAGTACAAGCTATTTTCATAAATCTTTGTTCTTTTGTGAGGATTTTTTACAGTTAACAATATTATTTTTTATGTTAATATATATATTGCACTTTCACTACTCTACCAAAATATTGTCATATCATTTTAGTGACGTTTATTTAAAATGTTAATTTATAAGTTTTTATTTATTAAAATTTTTAACTGGAAGAACTGTTTCTAACTATTCATATAAATCTGAAAAGCAAAGAATAATAATGTTAATCGTTTAGTATTTAAATAATATAGTTGCAAATCTAAAATATGATTTCTATGGAGAATAACAAAGAATGAATGGGTACAAAATATTCTAGAAGACTGGACGAAGGCCTTTTTAGTTGATTTTCTTTTGTTAGAAATTTTGAAAATTTCGCTTCAAATGTTTTCGATCGGAAACGGAACCTTGCAGAAGAAGGAGTCGATTGCCTTTTATGGTAAAGAAAAATTTCCGTTGCTGGGGGAAAGTAGCCATGAACTGAGGCTCATTACCATGTTATGGCTGGAATAACAAGATCCGGCAATGGGTAAATTCCTCTGGTTAGGGCAGTGACAGAAGAGAAAGTGATAGCGTGGGCAGACAGCAAAGGCAATGTACCCTTGGGCAAAGAAAGCGAAAGGTTTGGAGCAAGAACTTCAAATACCACCTGTTTTGACGAGAGGTTTACTGAGAGGGATAATACGAACGGAGAAGAAGAAGTCCGTAACGGATAGAAGACGCTGCACCTCTCTTTCTTTAGTCCTGCCCCAAAATACCCATTTTAAAAAGTATCATGCCAATGTGGATTGCTTAGCGGGCTAAAGACTCAAGAAAAGCATGGACTCTTTCAGAGGGTTGGTTCACCTGCAGGGGACCGTCAACTAAGAGCTTCCGAAGCAGAGTTTGGGTGAAAAAAATTCTCCACTCCATGATTCGAGACAGCAGTTTTGTAAATCAAATTAATGGTATTGCTTTTCTTCTCGAAAAGCAAAAGACGGATGCTACCTAACAGATAACACCTCCTTTCAGAAATCCTCCCAAATGATTTTAGACTGAATTTTCCTGCTGTTCGAAGATTCGAAGTAGTACTAAAGGTTGGTAAATATAAAAATGTTTTCACTCATCCCTGTTTACTCATAGGAATATCATCAACCATGTATACTTACTTGGTGGTGAACTGTATCAGGACCATTCCAAAACAGAATATTGACGCTGTCATAAGAAAATAATGTAAGTTCTAAATCAAATTCTGTAGAGAGCGATCGTTCTAACTAAGATTATGAGGAAATATTTCCAGGTATGTTCTTTTGTTTGTGGTTAACTATAGTATTATGTTAATTTATTCCAATAATTTTTGTTTAATAAAAATAAATTAGTATATTAAAAATTTTTCGTTGATGAGATAATTCATTGACCTCACAGCTGAGCTAGTATTTAAAAAATATACGATCAAACGTAAATTTAAGGATATAT